TTGGGAATGGCTAGTATTGTAGATACAGTATATCGCCAAGGTGACTATTTGCAAGGATTAACATCTACCCCTTTGTGTTTCATAATCCAGAGTTAACTGTTCACTAACATATAGATTGGAGGTCCTCAACCCTTGCCAGATTGCGAGGCCCGTGTAAATGGCAGTAGAAGGACACACTAAGCATGAAAAAGTAGTTTCAAAATACTTTAACGCTGAACCCAGTATAAGTAAATATTGTCTAAATACAAGAGTCGTGTATATTGTTACTTGAATATTGATGAGCTTTGTGTATTTCTTCCAGATCTGTGCAATAATCCAGTGTGAGACTTGGAGCTTCCTGTAATAAAGACCGGTCGCTGTTCTTGTGCAGAGTGACTGGTCTTGTCTCCACCCTCTCCTGTAGTTTTCTACAAGCAGTCTGTAGTGGGTGGAGCCTGCTGAGTCCCTCCCACAGCTCTGCTCACTGCATGGTCTATGTACAGCCCTGTGATGATGTCACCACTATTTTTACAAGTGGATGTGCAAAGGCATTGGGTGAACACATATCCTTTGTGGCTACTGAGGAATTTATTTAAATTAAAGTTTTTGTGTCTGGAGCTCAGTTTTAAGGTATATTGGAATCCCAAACATATCTTTTTTTTTTTATCTCTTTGCTGTTTTTGTCCCATTGCCAACATTTTCCCTCACTTCCTGTCACTGAAACACAACAGGAAGTAAGAGGAAATCTCTCCATTGTGAGAGGAAATTCTCCTCTTGTAGAGGTTTGCTGTTAATTTTGAAGGATTTTTCCCACTGTTCTGGGGAATTCTGTAAAATTTTGGATTTGCTACCACTCTTCCCAATGACACTGGTAAATAGGATGAATAGAGAGGATGAATCTCCTCAGCAGAGACACAGACGACAATAAAATCCAGACAGGGGTTTTAACACATTCTATTCAAAACACATTAAAGCTTTGGCTTTAGATACACTTTAATGATAATAATGCAAATGCAGGGAGCTTGTGGTCAGTGCAGAGCTTGTCAATCAGTATAGCCAGCCATCTGTCTCACATGAAACTTCTGAAAGTGTTGTTGACAGATGACTGCACTGAACCAGTGGCGTAACTATAGCCATAGCAGCCCAGGCGACTGCTATGGGGCCTGGGGGTGGAAGGGGCCCCATTAGGTTGTTGAGGCAAATTAAACATAGAGCATGTGAAGATAAGACAGATTTGGAGTGGTTGCAGTTGATGACAACATTATTCCCCTGTAAAGTCTACAGTGTAGAAACTACTTTAGATACACAAGAGGAGTGTTTGGGATCCTGGCCTCATTATTCGCAGCTCAGAGAGAGGTCGTCAGTGTGGCCCCATCACATTTTTCCTATGAAGCCCTGTGATCTGCAGTTGCGGCCCTGCACTGAACCCTTTAAATGCCACTTTAGAAAAGATGAAGCTGGTAATTTACGTGATTTATCCAAATATCTCTTGTTCATCTAAGGACTTGTTTACACTATGGCTGAAAGGGGGCGCTGGTGAAGACGTTTTGACCCCTTCCAAGTGCCCCACAAACAAACAAAAGTGTGTAGTAGTCTGCAATCAGGACTTTGCAGGGTAGCAGGCCAAACATTTGATGCAACATTTGAGTCATTGCTGGCTTGGAGCACCTTTTGGGAGACCGACCATTGTTATTTGTCCTGCTGACCACTATCCTCAAAACTGAAATTGAGAGAAAATACAGACTGTTGAGTTGTCATTGGAACAGGAATAGAGGGGAAAGCTCACAATGGGGACACAATGGGGACACCTGTTCCGGTGACAACTACCTAAGAGGGGACGAGGAAGTTCTCCCACTTTATAAAGATTCCCTCTAACTTCCTGTTTCATCTCCAGGAAAGGGGTGAAGGTAAATCTCCAGACCGGGATACTAACAGCAAAAAATACTAACAGGGATTTTACCTCTTTACTCCTCTATATAAAACAAAGAAAAATGTTTTATTGGTTATACATATACTTTTATTTTTTTATACTTGTCTGGATTGTACAATGGTTAGTTTGGAACTGTAATCTTAAATCTGCTGCTTAAAAACAGGTTTAAACTACTCTATATAGACATTTGTGTTACCATATTCAGATGTAGGTAAAAATTGTTTTAGGCAATCTATGAAACTACAAAACTGCCCCCTTCCCCCACATACACACACAAAGCATTTATGGAATTTTAACAAAGTAATTAAAACTGCAATCTGAATGATGTCTATTTAGAAAAGGGCTTTGAAAAGCAAAGCAAACTGCTTTCTTTCCTTGCCTTTTCTTCAAGTATCTCTGCTTAGGGTTCACACTAAGGCCTCATTCACACACAACGCAAGCAAAATTGTATATTGCGTATATACGCGACAATGCGCGTATACACTGTGTGGCCAGATTATTATGACCATCTGACGTTTGGAGGCAAATTAGCTATAATTTTGCGCTGAAGTTGCTAGAGGACCAGACCATTATAAATAGGGAAGCAGGTTGTTTACCACGACAGTAGAAGTGATTTGTTTCTGAAGATATGGGGAAACAACGCGATTTAACAGCCTTTGAACGTGGGGTGATTGTTGGCGCTCTGAGCCATGGAGCGAGTATCAGCAAAACAGCAGAATTTGTTAAATGTTCAAGAGCAGCTGTTGTTAAAGTGTTTAAAGACTGGACTGTCAGCCGAAAATCTGGGTCTGAACGTGCGAATTGTGGCCGCCAGCGACTAGTCAATGTTAGGGCAGAACGCAGGGTGGCAAGACTGGTACAAGCCAACAGAAGGACAACAGTGCAGTGTCAGATTCCTCACATCACCTTTCAACATCTCGTGGAGTCACCTCGGGGCCCAACGAAGTAATCTCGTGGAGTCATCTCGTGGCCCAACGAAGTACTGATGGGGTGGTCATAATAATCTGGCCACTCAGTGTATACAAGTGTCTATGCGCGTTTATACGAGCGTATATGCGTATATGCATGCACTTTAGGCAATCCCAGAATGCATCACTCGTAATGGAATTTTTAATGTGCTGTACGCATGTATGCGCCTATACGCACGTATATACGCATAAACACGCGTACGTGCGCGTAAATACGCTGCCCGGACGCATCTCTGTTCCATTCTGTTTTTACGCATATACTGTATACGCTACGCAAATATACGGCTCCATATGCGACTAAGTGTATGGAGCCATTTATTTGTATATGTTGCATATGGTACAATACGCACGTACACGCGTATATGCACGGCAGTGTGAATGAGGCCTTAGGGTTTACAATTTTTATGTTTAGGGTTTACACTTTTTTTTATCTGTAGATATTTGTCCAGTTAATTGAAAGATTTTGTTTTATTACAATAAATGCAATTTGTAACACACCCAAACTCCTTTATTACACAAAGAAAGGGTATCCAGCAGACATAAACGGAGAGTTGGGGAATGGAGGGATTGTTTAAAGCCTCCTGAGATAGACAACCCCTTTAATGTCTAAAGTTTTAATAAGTAAATAAATTATATTAACGTTTATACTGACAGGGTATCACATGCAGGGATTGAAAAGAGTGTGGCAAGGTCAATGGTCATTGTTGACCTTCTTTATCGTACATATTGTACAAGGACATCAAGTCTCTTTTCAGTGCTACAAAGAGCTTGTTGAGGGATTCCATCCATATTCTTCTCTGGTTCTCGTTGTCCGACTTTGATGTTTTTAAGGCTGTGTAAGCCATGGTCAGCACTGTCCTCTCAAAGTCCTCCCTCTTCAGTGGACCACGGACCATGGACAGCTGGTCTCCCAACCTCCGAATATCTGAGATGGCCTTGGGGATGACATCATTGCACACAACATCAAAGGTGGTGGCTTTCCGCAGAGAGGACAGCTCGGGGTCGCGGAGGGTCATTCTGCTGTCTGGATCAATCTGAACTCCAGTGGACAGGAACTGAAAGAATTAGGAGGAAACAAGATATAAATCTGTAGTAATTAGTAAGTGGAAGAGATTGTCTTGGAAAGAAGAACTCAATCTAAATAAGAAAAAACTGTTTAATACTTTGCTTCCCTAAAATAAATCAAAGTTATACCAAAACACTTTCAATGGTACATTTAATAGCAAAAGGGAGCAAATAAAGAAGTTTGTTGTTAGGTTTACACACTTTTTAAGAAAAAAAAAGACTTTAAAGCTGAGCTCCAGATATAAAATATACTATTTTAGCTCTACATTCACTAATACATCATTAAGTGCATTTTTATTGCAAGCAGTGTAAGTGCCGGAATTTGGCTTGGTATCAGCAAAGCTCAGACAGGGAGAGGGAGATGCAACACAAGCAGCCAATCAGTTGTGCTGCAATGCTAATGTGGTAACAAGGAGCATGCTGAAAAGCAGAGTGCAGAGATATGAGCCCTTCCGTTTTCTGTGTCTCCTCACTGACCAGTCACAGGCTGTAAGTGTAGAGAAAATATAGGTCTTCTTCCCTGCCAGACAGGACTGTGCTGTGTAGCACAGATGTGTAAATCTCAGGATTGGACAGATGGAAATAAATACAAATCCTTTGACAGATAAAACTATGAATATTTAGCTGTTTTCCTGAAATTACGCATTAAACTCGCAGCTTTCCTATCCTGTTCAGTTGCTAAAGTAGCAGCTAGACCCCCAAAAGACCCATCTCCTAGAGTGTGTTCTTCGAGAGGTTGGGTGGTCACTATTTCACTTCCACTTCATTATGTGGCAGTGGACATTTTAATGATAGGTCCACTTTAAACAGGTAATTTTTAGAATACATTAAAGGAGAACTATGGGGTCAGTGTTTTCCCCATAGTTCTCCTTAGGGTAACGGGAGGACACAAACTAGCGTCCTCCCGTTACCATAAGCTCAGTATACTGCAAGCTACAGCTCGCGGTATACTGAGACGCCAGAGCGGATCCCGACTTAGACGTCGGGATCCGCCCAGCTGCGTGAGTGACAGCTGGCTCTGTCTATCTAGAGGCAGAGTCAGCTGTACTCGCCCCCTCCCCCGTCCGTTCCGCCAGTCAGCGCTGGCAGATCGAAGCGGGGAGAGGAGAATCCAGCCCCTCCCCCTGTCACGGCAGAGAGCCGTGACAGGATCGAGAGGTGAGCGAACCCGGTATGTGTTCGCTCACCTCCCGATCTACTGAGCCGACCTGTGACAGTCTCATTGTCACAGGTCGGCTAGAACTATGAGGTGAGTGAAAAGCACTCATGTCATAGTTCTCCTTTAAAGCCTGCATCATTGGAATATTCAATTACATTGTCTACCTTCTATTCCCTGTTTTTAATTATAGTAAGCCCCAGTAATACCTGCGAATTAGGCCAATGGCACAAGTCTCTCAAGTTCCTTTGTGATATTCATGCGAACTGCTGCGGGTGGGAGTCTCTGTACACTACAATGACAACCCCATTCGCAGGTGTGAATGGGGACTTAAATGTTTATTGTTATAGTACAGTTGCCCAATTGAAATCACAGCTACAGATATACTGTACAACCTCAATTCGTATCATTTTATGTCCAATTTTCTATTAAATCATTTGTGTTGAATGCCTAAATATGACTACACAGTCCAATAGGGACCAGTGTTTGACTATGCTGCCCAGAGCACTCAAGGGGCTAGAGAGCATGAAGTCCTTTGGAGAAGTGGAGAGGATGGTTAGGGTGATACTTTGAGGTTGGAGGTAATGCTGGGGGCAGAGTTTTGGATGTCTTTGTAAGTGGTTGTTACTATTTTGAATTTTATCCTTTGGGCAACTGGAATTAGTGATGCGCAAGGACAACGAAGGGGTGAGCTATGGAGTGCAGAGATATATTTGAGTGTCATCAACATAGAGATTGTACTGGAAGCCATGCAAAGTTATCAACTGACCAAGGGAGCAGGTGTAGATAGAGAACAGCAGGGGTCTGAGGACAGAGCCTTGGGGGACCTCTACGGAAAGAGGAAGTGAAGAGGAGGAGGTAGATTTGTAGGTGACACTAAAGGAGTCTTGTAGGCCAAGCGAGTGTAGTTTTTTGAGGAGGAGCAGGTGGTCAACAGTGTCAAAAGCAGCAGAAATATCTAATAGCAAGAGTAAGGAGTAGTGGCCATTGTTTTTAGCAGTTAGTAAGTCAATAATGAGTTTTAGGAGGCTGGTTTCGGGCGGAGTATTTTGGGCGAAAGCCAGACTGTAAGGCGTTGAGAATGTTGTTATCCCTGATGTGGCGGCTGAGGCAGCTGGACATAAGGCGTTCTAGCAGTTTGGAGGTGAATGGGAGTAAGGAGATTGGTCTGAGATTGTTAAGGTTGGTGGGGTTCGGTGCATGTTTTAGATGAGAGGGGAAGATGCCAGTAGAGAGGGAAAGATTGATGTCAAATGTGAGTAAGAGAGTGACTGGAATAGTGGTGAGGGAATAGGGTCCAAGGGGCAGATGGTGAGGTGGGTGTCAGAGAAAAGCTTTGTAACCTCCTCTTTAGTGACAGGGTCGAAATGAGAAAGTGGCAATGTGGTGGTGGGCCTGATACGTTAATTGGGGTCGATAGGTGAACAGGGGAGATCTCATCATGAATTGCAAGTAAATATCAGTTACAAATCATGACACGGCAGGTATATTCTCTATAAAGAGAAAAAAAATGGTGTGGGCTTTATTAGGAAATTAGAAAGAACAAGTCTGGTATGCAAGGTAAAGTAACCAATAAATAAATAAAATAGAAATAGATACATTAAACAAAAAGAAAATAAAAGCTGCTTGGCTTTCGATGCCTTGGCCTCTGCCCACTCACATTCCTTCTTGAAATATGAGGACCGGCAAGCAAACTGGGACTTGCATTCTCCATGCAATTGGTGGGTTATACCGTATACATGGCAGTAGTACTGTGGAATGTTATAATATAAAATAAAAAAGCAGTTCTAGCAGCTGTTATTCATTTATTTATCACCAGATGGAGCACTAAGGCTACTTCTATTAATGTATGCTTCAATTCAATCTCTGTACCTGTAAACTCACGCTTTGACCTTCCTTTTTCCAAGAAGACCTCTGATATATATATATATATATATATATATTGAATTTGAGCTTTAACATCAATCCACTTGTTACATTGTATTCATAAGTAGGGAAAGAGTGAGTGTGTCTTTGAGAACAGAATCTACTCGTCATAACTAGCACAATTCCCTCTCTGTATGTTAGGGCAAGTCTCTGGTCTTGGTTCATCCTGGAAGCGATCTATACATTTTCCACTGACCTCATAAAGCAGCTCCACCTCAGGCATTGATTTTTGAAGAACCGGGTCCAGGAATTGAGGCGAGGAGCGCCGCACCCGATGGGCGGATGGAAAAAACACCACTAAAAATAGAAGAGAGCAGGTAGTGGGGTGAATCTAGTACACGCAGGTCACTATATCAGAAGTCTGCTTTAAATGTAATAATTAGACCATTGTACAACGTGACATATTCTAAAAGTAGCATTTGATGCACCCAAAGTGGATTTATATCCTTTGTGGTTATTGAGAAATAGATTTAGATGAAATTATTTGTTCCCTGAGTTCAGCTTTAATGCAGCTATTACACTGGTGTAATTTGTGAAGTACGCTCCGTGTTTCTTATTTAATAATAATAATGGCTTTAAATAAAGAATTCTCATTACAATCATGAGGAAAGCCAAAGATCTGCATGACAATGACCTCCAGATTAGGATTACAGCATCGAGTTCCAGTCTTCTCTTTATCATTATAAATCCTCTGAAATTTGGAAGCGAACTTTGAAGCCAAGAGACTTAATAGAATCAAAATCATGTGCATGGAGCGGAGGGAGCGTATTCCAACATACCAGTCTGTTTGGAAGATCCTGGCTCCTTTCATGGAATTTGTGTCTCTGGGATGCTACTTCTGCACGCATTGGAAACAGCATGATGGCGGCGAATTCAGGATTGTGTATTTTGGTGCAGTTCATTAGATATGAGTAAGTGATTGGCCTGTGTATATGATGCTGTTTATGTAATATAAGGCCAGAGGAAATGTCAGGTGTTCACTGACAGTCAATGAATCATCAGAGCCAATAGGAACTGTGGACAAAACGTGATCCCAGCAGGACAGAGATATTTTACAGAAAGATCTGAAGAAACTGGCAGCAGTTCAATGGCAAGTGACATTTGAAGAGAACCAATGGGAGAGTATAGTGTACTTTTCCCAATAGTTTGAGCCAGCGTGTGACACTGCAGCTGTCACATGCCGGCTCTATAGCTCTAAAACTGAGTAATCACAAACCACATGCCCAGCAGAGATTCCCCCTCCCCTCTCTGTTCCTCAAGTGCTCATTGGAGGGACAGACAGGAGAGGGGGCGGGTACAGCTGGCTTTGGCTCTAGAAAGGCAGAGCCAGCTGTCAATCAGGCAGTGGGGTGGATCCTGACAATATTGTCAGGATCTTTTCCGGCTGCAGTGCGGCTCTGCGCTGTCAGCAAATAACAGGCAGTAGCCTGCTATATGCTGAGTTTTGATCACAGAGGGACACTAGTAAATGTACTCCTGTGACCCCCCAAAAAAGTAGCGCCAAAAAAAAGTGTTTGGCTATAGTTCTCTTTTAAAGTATAAGGGCATTTTATTATTTGGATAAAGTAGGGAACATTTAGAACCCATTACCTTTCGTTTGCTGTGTCCTTTTGGGGAGAATATCCTTAATTTCCTCTCTTGGAGACACAACAGGAAGTGAGAGAAAATCTTCTCACAGGGAGGGAGATTCCCTCTAAAGCTGGCCACACACTACAGTATACAAACTTTGTCAGGTTCTTGATGAACTGGCTGAAATCTGCACAGCGTGTGCCGCGGTCGGCACCCTTTCGATCTGCATCCCTCGATCAGCTGACCAAAGGAGTCGTTTGGAAAATCTTTGAATGAACAGTTGGGATCTCCAATCAGGCACTGTAGAGGGCCGCTCGCAGTGGCCTCGGAGAAGCGAGTGGCCACTCGATGACAGCCGGGTGAATGTGAGAGAGGGAGCCAGGGGCTTCGTTTAGCGGGGGTCGTGACGGCGCCCCCCCTTAGTCCTGCGCCCGGGGCAAGTCCCCCCCCTGCCCCCCGGTTGTTACGCCACTGGTTGGGAGCCAATCAGCTGCTTGTCACCAGACAGCCATACACCCACTTTATCCTGAATTATATAAAAAAAGATTTTTAGCTTCAGATATACTTAAAAAATATAAAGTACAGCAGAGCGATGATGTCACTGCTACATTTATAAGGTAATATCTGGTTTTGGAAAGGCATTTGGTGCACATAACATGGATTTATATCATTTGTTGCCCATTAGGAATATATTTAAATGAACATTTTTGTGTCCAAGTTTAGCTTCATGCTCCATAGAAATATCTTTTAAAATGTACTGTTCAGTGGAAAGCAGGACTTTTAAAAAGGCTTAAAGGGCAACATTAACAATGTTGGTTATGTGTTTAGATGAAGCACTGAGATCCTGAGGAATGCTGAATTAAGTTTTACTTGCTTAGGAGAACATTACATGTATGTATACAGCATTGTGAAGATAACAGAGAGAGAAAAAACTTCCTGTGTATCATAGATAAGCATGCACATAGAGACTAACATTGCACTACAGCGCCATCTATAGCTCAAAAGACAAAGTACATCAGTATATGCTCTTGTATTTCCAACAACAAATTGACAAATTCCTTCTACAGAATGCATTGGGGATGCTCTAAACCTGCCTGTAAAGTGGTGCATATGTACTGAAGGAAAAGTGACTTTTGCAAAGAAAATGTCATTTAAATTGCCAATAACTGACAGATCCCAGTTGTTTCAACATCTATACCAGACCCTTATCCAGGATAAGGGACTGATATGGATTGCAAGGGGGACCCCATGCAAAACAAACAAAAAAACTGTAGGTTCCCCCCAGGAATGCAAGGAGAAGCAGCATGCCAATGAGCTCATCTCTCTGTCACTCGGTTCTCTCCTCCTGTCAGTGTGTTCTTTGATAGAACATGTGCATTGCAGTACAACTGACTGCTTTTCCCTCTTCCAGTCTGAGTTTTGAAGTAAGGGGATTGCCAAAGGCTGTTGCAAAGTCACATTCAGGTACTTACCCTGCTTGCCGAAATATTAACAAACAGAGCTACAATAAGTTGTGTATTTTATATCTGTCTGGATTGCAGATTTAAACAAGATTGCTATTTATCTAGAAGTCTCATCTACTGTCCTGGATTGTTAAACATTTTAAAAACAGAAGGTAAAATACATACATGTGCTTTAAAAACAGGTGCAATGGACTACTTCCGCATGTCATATAATTAAAGCCTTGGCATTAGTCACATGATCTCTCAAACATGGGGCAACTATGCAGGCACAGCTGCTGAACATTAGCGACTCCCTTAATTTAATAAAAATATTAGCTTTCAAGCTTTCATATAAAAAAAACATTGCTTTAGATTGAGCCATGGTTAAAGCCAGAGATTTGCAAGAAAGTGAACTCCTGATTATTATTGCAGTACTGACTTCCATTCTTTTGGTTACTTGGATTCATTTTCTGAAGCTTAGGAGCGATTTTTGAAGCCAAGAGACTTAAGAGAGAATAAAATGCATATGTATGCCAATATAGAAGTCTATATAAAAGATTCTGGCTTGCGTCACGGAACGTGTGTCTACATCTGTGTGTACGTGAAACACTGCAACGCATTTAGGACTGTGTATGTTGGCACTGTGGGTCTGTGTAGGTGACGACGGGCTGTGTATAGAATGCTTTGTTTAGGCAATCTACACATAAGGCCAGAGGACGTGCGGGGCGTTCCCGCTAAAAGCCAAAGATGATTTATGGGAGGTGAAAATATCCTGAACAAAATATTATTTTTCTTCTCATTGTGTGCCCATAGTAAGCAGCTGTTTAAAGAGCAGCTCCAGCTGAACAGCCAAGGACATTGTAAAAATACCTTAATACAGGGGTTGACAACCCTGGACCTCCAACTGTTGTGGAACTACAAGTCTAATGATGCATTACAAGACCCTGAAAGTCGCAACAATCATGACCCCCATAGACAGAGGTTGCCTACTCCTCCGTTAATATGTGGTGAAATGTATTCCTTCAAATACTTTATATAGCAAAGCTACTTAGCAAAACCAGGTTGACAATATATATTTGTAAATGCTAGTATTGGATTGTTTTTCTTTTTACTTACATTCTTTTTTTCCTTTAAGCTTAAAATAGCTGAATAGCATATACCAGAAGGCCACCGCTGTACAGTAAGGGCTCTATTTATAATCAATTTGCAGAGCCATTTACACTATAAATCTTTCTAAGTGTTTATTCTGTGCAAATAGATGCAAAAAGGCACGTTCTTAGATAGATTTTCTTTTCAGGTTGAATGTATGTAATGTAATACTGCATTATAGCCACTAGATGGAGCTCAGGAGCTTAGGAAAGAATTTGTAAGGCGAATGGCTCTGCAAATTGGTTATAAATAGACCCCTAAGTATTGTCAGATAATTTAAAGGGAACTGTATTTTTTGTCCACATATTCTCAGATATTATTCAAATTTGTGGCTTAGCCATCTCCCGGTCAACAGTGTTTTTGTTGAAAAGCTTTGCATTCAAGGACACTTTTCCTGAAGAAGGGACCCTTCCAGCACCTAAGAAATTTTGGGGTAGATCGGTAAGGTGTGGGTTTCAGATATTACTAAAACTTTTGTTTAAAAAACTCTTTAAAAAAAATAAAATACTTTTAGTCTGTCCATAGAAACCCCATGCTAAAGTCTGGGTGCCGTCATCTCCTGGCACCCCATTCCTCAGCTTCCAGTGGTGCAGAGAAGAGTACCCTTTGTGACATGAACACATTCTGCAGAGTTGGGGGGTTGGACATTGAGGAGACTGGTCTCTTAGGGCTTTTTCACACCACATCCAGTGCGATCTGGCACGGTTAGTGGCCAGAACGCACTGGATCACATGGAGCAAGCCTCCCTGTGTTCTGGGGCAAGAGGGGGTGTGGTGGTGCCGTCAATGGCACTGCAGACACGCCTCCCCCAGAACATGTGGCACAGCAATGCCTGCAGTGCGATCGCATAAAATAGTTCATGTACTGAGGACGGGAGGCGTGTCTGTGGAGCCATTGATATTAATTGAACTGCCACGCCCCCTTTCACCCCAAAACGCGGGAGGCTTTAATTATGCGACCCAATGCGTTCTGGCCACTAACCATGCCGGAGCGCACTGGATGCGATGTGAACCGGCCCTTAGAGCACGGCTGGGTGGCTTGGGTTACAATGTTGCAATCTGATCGCTGGTAGAGAGGAGACAAAGGAAATGCTTCTGCCTGGCCACAGCACACTGAAGACATCATCATAGCCTAGACAAAG